AATTTTTTTTTCCTTCTTTTTTATCATTCGCAAATCGCAAATATGGCATTATACAACTTCAAGAGGATTCAGCCGATAACATCGAGGGTATGATCCTCTTATCAGAATTGTCGAGAAGACGAATTCGAAGTATTCAGAAATTGATTCGGGTTGGAAGGAACGAGGTCGTTGTGGTTTTAAGAGTCGACAAAGAAAAAGGTACACTTCCTTTGCGTCACGAATCATTTTGTGATGGCTAATTTGACATCAACCATTTCTGTTCTCTCAAGGTTATATCGATCTGTCTAAACGTCGTGTCTCTCCCGAGGACGTGGCCAAAGCCGAAGAAAAATTTAATAAATCCAAAGCAGTATGATTCTTCGACATTTCTGTTGACCACATGTATGTATTTAAAAAGAGTGACCTACACTTACCGCGGTCACTTTTTAGGTACACAGCATAATGCGGCATGTTGCTGAGAAACAAAATATGGTCCTCGAAGACTTGTACAACCAAATTGGGTGGCCGTTATACAAAAAATATGGTCATGCATATGAAGCGTTCAAGCTGGCAATCACGTACGTTTGCAATCATCTACATCCTCGGGCATCTTTCTGTCAAATCACGCTGGTTAATCACCCGGATCTATTCATGCAGTGAACCCGAAAAGGTATTCGAGGGTCTAGATATATCCCAAGAGATCATCGACGAACTATCAAACAATATCAAACGACGGTTGACGCCACAACCAATAAAGTTTCGCGCCGGTACGTCAAATGGACATCAATTATCTTACCATCTCTTTGAACTAATTCGAAAGTAATTAAAATTTCGTAGATATTGAAGTAACATGCTTCGGTTACGAAGGTATTGACGCTATTAAGACGGCACTCAAGGCCGGTGAGTCATGCGAAACCGGAGATACTGCCGTAAAGGTACCTTTAGTTTGATTCATATCAACTACGCTTGAACCATTAGATTTATCGTTAAACTGCCTTGTTACCATTACCTCCGCCCGCGTTAGATTAAGCTGGTTGCCCCCCCATTATATGTCCTTCTTACAAATGCATTGGATAAGACTTTGGGAGTTGAAATATTAGAAAAAGCAATTGTCGTCATTCACGAGTCTATAGAGAAATCTGGGGGTAACCTGACGGTTAAAATGAAGGTTCGTGTATTTTTTCTATCTCAATTCTCCTCAAGTGTTTCCATTAACCAATTTCGCTCCTGAAAATATCAGCCAAAGGCAGTAAGCGAAACCGACGAAGTGGAGCTTGCTGAACTTATGGCTCGTATGGGCAGAGAAAACGAAGAGGTTTCTGGTGACGAAGATTCTGAACCCGCGGCTGGTGACACAGACTGAGGAGAATTGTGAGATCGAAAAAATAAATGTGGTTAGTTTCAGAGATGATCGGTAAAATAGCTTACTAGGAATCTGAGATGTTTGCAAGGTTCTTTTAAAAATGGTGAATAGATAATTTATTTTTAAAATTTACGTAATTTAGTTTTACAAGCAATTGCGGTTCACACAAGCCTGCGCCTAAAATTGAACAAACTGTATTATGCACCTTACACGTGCTCTGCTGGTTGTAATATGAGAACCAGTCTATAAGAATTTTAACCTTGAAGGCAAATTAAAGACCAAATCAAGGAATAATCTCGGTGTTTGCAGTTTAAGATCGTAATTTTGAATAGTCAAAGATTGAATTTTTATATGACTGAGTTTTCTGATCAGGCTAAAAGAAGCCGAATTCCTTTTTTATCATGTAAACAGAAAACCTCGGTCTCGTTTATTATTTTTTTTCCACACGAAAAAATTATACCCTTTTTTGCAAACCTAATAAATAATTTATTTTGATAAACTAATTAATTATTCATCTGTTAATTACAGTATATTCCTCTAACTAATAAAGGATTATCATAAATTAAGTAACACAAAATATATAATTAATGTACAGTAAGTACTGTACTCTTGAGTTAAAACATCTTCCTTTTAAAAACCTCATCTTATTACAAGTTATTCTTCTTCATGAATACCTTGACAACTTGAATTTCGGCACTCTCAAAACAGTTATCGCATCAGCGCTTGCATCTAAAAAATTTCTTGCATATTAATCTTCAAAAAAAAATTTTTTTTAATTTTTATATACGCATTCTACTATAAAACCGATCGTCGGGCGTTACCTTCTGATCATACGAGACCCATAATACCACAATATAACTCTTACCAAATTGACATAAACAATCAATTCGAAAAATGAACGAAAATCTAGTTTCGTCAATTGGCGTGCGACACTTGAGATAAACATTATATGTATTAAATTCCTGCTGCGTAACTTGCAATATAAATATAAAATTGTCTTTTTTGGTTAAAAAAAAAAAATGGTTCAATAATTTTCATCAAAAAAATTTTTTTTTCTTTTTATCATTTACACTTGGAGATAATACGCAATAAAGTGGGTACCTCCTATGATAGTGAAAAGATCAACAAACCAAATCAAGCAATTTAATCAGTATGAGTTCACCAAAATCTAAAGATCTAGAGGGACATCTCACGCGAGAAGTTCAGACGATAACTAATGGGAACTCGCGAACTTCAGTAACAGATGTCGAGGAGGACGTGGTAGCAAAGGACAATAACGATACGAACTTTATCTTCACCAACATCGACAAAGACCAGTTCTATCAACTCTCGAAGACATTGGCAGACTTCTACGATCGCGAAATGAATAATTATTCTGATATTAGTTCACAGAAAAAAAGGTCTCGTTCGGTAAGAATTTCTAATTATTCAGTCACTCTTTATTTTAATATTGTTTCTAAACGATATATCTATCGTCACCAAAGTCCTTGGAAGGTAATTATCATGAATACCTATTTAGAAAAAATTTTTATATTTCACCCACGCTAACCGATTCTTAATATCAGTCGATGGTAGTCCGTTAAATCTAGAGATTAAGATCAGAGATTTTGGATTTCCTATAGAAGATTCTCGCCATTGGGGGCATCCTTATCAATCCTCCGATGATGAGGATGAGGATGTTGAAGAGAATGAATATGCGAACCGTCGAGCTCGAGCTCTTTACGATTTTCGAGCAGAGAATCCATCTGAATTAAGCTTTCAGGAAGGCGACATTCTTTTAATTCAAGATCGGCAATGCGCGGGCTGGCTAATTGCTGATCTTGGGGAAGAAACTGGACTGGTGCCGGAAAACTATGTCGCCTTGTTGGGTGACGATGAAGAGGAAGAGGACGAATACGGGGACTGGGCTAACGAGGAGCAACAATAAGTCGAAATGCTTAGTAATGCCGATAATTTAACTTATTAGTCAACTTTCGCCTTTGCTCACAATCCAAATGCTGGTTGTATGGATTGATTGTATATATTTGTAGTTTTACTTAATAAATTTAATTCTCGTATTACACGTTATTTCTTTCTGAGAACGATTCATTAAGTCCCCAAAAACTCAAGCATCATTATTATTTTTAGATTTATACTATGTTTATTTGAAATCAATTGATGTATCATTACAAAAGATTTGAAAATTTTCTTTGTCATTCAAGTTTCCTTTTCATTTTATACTCATGTTAATAATCACTTATCTACAAAGTATTTGGCAAAATAAATATGAATTTATTAGATTATATCACAAATGCATACATGATATACCTAAGGACAATTCAATTAAAGTACCAGTTGCTCACAAGACAGACGAAAATCGCGTTTTGATATTTCTTTCCCAACAAACGATAGAACGAAATGCTTCCCAACGCAATTATATTATAGCAAGTTTGACGAACCCATCCGCGTTCGCCCGCCCACGTCTCATGATCCTAGCCTTTCACACCTTTCGTCCTTTCATGCAGAACCCGTACAAGAATCCTTGCGAAGGCCTTCTTGTTTCGAATCCTCTTACCCCATATAACTCGCGTCCCACGACTCATATGTACCAGCTACAAATGAAAGGATCTGTATTTGTTTGGTGAGAATTATTTGCTTGATCACGTGACACGATCGCACATATTTGCACAAAAAATCAGCAAGTCGAAAAAAGAAAAAAGAAGTATCGAGTTGTTGATCCGAAATACTTGATCTCGTTTGACGATCTCCGAAGCTTGAAATCAATTTCTAAAAAAAAAAAAAATTATGGTAAGAAATGGAATGAGAAAGAAAGTGTAAAAGAAAGGAAAAAGTGCAGCTCAGTAATTCATAGTAGACACGGTGTAATGATCTTAAATACTGCGAATAAATGAGCAGTACGCGAAGAATAAGTGGCATAAAAATAACGAAATGGATGCAAAGTTACTTGGGCGGTATTATAATTAAGGATATAAAATTTTTGGAAGTGTTCGTGCAGATGACGACGCGAAAGCGCGAGTTGATCAGACGTTTTAAATATGATTGGTCGATACTTTAGGTAGTTACGCACCTTGATTTTATCCGATCTCTATCATAATTTCAAAAAAATTTTTCCCGAGAATTTTTTCATCTCTTATTTTGAGAAAATGCAGAACGAACGTTTTATTCCCAGAAAATGGTTGATTTAAATTTTTTTCCTTCTTTCTAGTTCTCATCCTACATTGACAAACATGAACTTTAATTTTATAGCTCCGCTACAAGACGTCTAATTACAGCAAAAGATCATGCGTCTGTTCAAATCAACGTTGGCGAAGTTGACGAAAAAGGTCAATATAATGGTGCCTACAAGACTTATGCTTTATGTGGGTTTATTCGTCGTTCTGGTGAATCTGATGACTCCTTAAACCGACTGACTACAGAAGATGGCTGTGAGTTGAAGTTTATTTGCTCCACATCATTAAACAATTTAATTTTGTTTTTAATAATTTAATCTAATAAAAATTGTTGCATTTAAGTTCTTAAAAAGTAGGTTTAATTCGTGGATACGCTAAATGGGTGAATGAATCGCTAAACCTTATTTTTTTTTGTAGTGTATGGTCCCATCAACGCTAATGATCAAATACAAAAGACTGTTGAAATTCATACAAAAAAGCTTGCATTTTTAGTGTACGATTATTAAGATTATTAAAGGGCACACTTTTTTTCAAAATAAAAAAGATTTCCAAACAAGTTTTTTTTTTTTAATACTAGCTTATTCATGCGTTATTGAAATATTAATAGTAATAGTATATTGAAATAACTATTCTAGTTTATACTATCTATTACTTAACTTTTAACAAGGTTCAATAGAAAGGTTTCTAATAGGAACCATCAATCTTGTGATTCTTGTTACCTCAATAATAAAACAGGGAATCATTGTAAAGAACTTATTGATATTGAAATTATTTTCAAATTATAAAAAATAATTCTTTTTTTTTTTAAAAGATTTTTATTATGCACAAAGTTTAAATCTACTTATATTTCTCTTAACAAATTTAAAAAAACGTTTTTTTATAAAATAGAAAGTAGAAAAAATTTTTTTTTCTTTATAAAACTTTTTCTATTATATTCAAAAATAATTTTTTTTTAAACCTGTGATCAAGCTAACACTATGTATTTATTAATCAATATAAAAATTAATAGAAATACATAAGACAATTGTATCATGATTAAATTAAATTAATGTTAACTTACTTGGCAATAACTGTTAATTCTTAAAAAAGTTTTAGCTTTTAAGTATAACTTTGAAAATAATATTTTGTTTCATAATAACATTTATGTAAATATTTTTTTAATTTATACATTATTACTAATAAATTGTTACTACTAATTATTTTCCAAAAAACTGATTTTAAAAAACTACAAAAGAAAAGAGAAAAATAAAGAAAAAGAATATCTAAAAATATGCAAATACATTATATAAAAAAATAATAATAATAATAAATAAAAATATTTCATGTTCAAAAAATCTTTACTAAAAATTTCTTCTTATTAAAAACCAATCTTTTTGAGATATTCTTCTTCTTTCTAATCACTTAAGAAACTTATTCATCTATAATTTTAATTATTTTCTTGTAACTATTTGAAGTATTTATTGCTTACTTAAATTGATATTAAGTTTGTATTTATTCATATTATAATCAATGATTTATTAAAAAAAAAAAAAACTCTTTCCACTGATCCCTTTTTTCCTTAAAAATTTCTTTTTTTGATAATTTTCTTGGAAAAGAAAAGCCAACCTAAAAACATCTTATCCCTCAAAGATTCAAAACTTAACAACAAACTAAAACATCTAATTATTTTCCCAAAAGATCACTTTATCGATTAAAAAAAGTTTTGATAGTACACCATTACACTAGCTTTATTTTGCATAAAAAGGAAAACACATCTGCAAACTGATTCACAGTAAGCTTAAGAAAGCCCAATATCAACTCCCCAAGCTTCTAGCCAAGCCAGTATCAGTTTACACCTTTCTAGACACTAGAAAGAACTTTAAAAACAATAGTTCCTCTCGATAAATCAGAAAAACTCAAAGCTTGCAAAGCCCAAAAGAACATCAAAAACTCCTAAATACTAAAAAGTAGAATACTCCAATTCCATACACACTTGTCTAAACATTAAAACAAGTTATACGAATACATACACATCAAATAATTCAGTATCAAAATATTATAGCAAGGTTTATCAAGTGTCTATGGATAAACGACTGATTTTTTATAACAAAGAAGATCAACATCAAATTCAGAAAATAAACAAGAATCAAACAAGAAGAATTAACAACTTATCCAAGTAAACAAGACATCAAACAAAACAATAAACAATCAACTTATATACCTTGCTAAATATAAACAAATAAACAAATTAAGACTAAACAAAACAACAAATCTGTATTTTATCCTCCTTTACACATGACCAATATGACAAAGGAACAGAAAATCATGCAAATTGCCAAGAAGAGAGAGCTACATATCCTCAATACAATAGTTAGAATAGCTGAAAAACATGACCAGAGACAAGAGACATGGGCTACCCAAATCATCTTTAACACTCTCACTACACAAGACAAGTCCAATCAGACACCAGGATCATCAGAATACTCAATACTCGATAGCATTCTTGCAAAAATTTTAAATATAGATCCAACTATATTCATCAAAGCAGAGGTTCTTAAAACACATATCCTATACTTATAGATACAAAGTCAAGAAAGAGAAGAAGATCTTATGGCACCTGTCTTGGAAGAAAAAGTCATACACATCTTGAAACAAGATACTTCTACAAATGGTCATTCCTTTTATACTTCAAAAAATTTTCAGACTAAGGGTGAGTTTATAAACTTCATATTAGGAAACTCAACTTTAGATAAGAATATCACTCTAAATAAGGACATAAAAGTTTAACCAATAATTAATATTGAAATTTCAAATGACATTGAAGTTGAAATAGGTAATAAGAACATGGAAGAAAAGCTGAAGAAAGAATTTGAAATTGAAAGAAAAAACATAGTGAAACAAATCTCCTACAATATATGAAACAGACCCAAGCCATTTAGTTTAAATCCATTTCATATTATCAAAAAGGGAAAATTCAAGGTCAGAATCCTTACCTCCAGAATATCAGGAGATACAAAAAAAAACAATTAGGTTATCTTTAAGATGCCTTGAGTCTACTTAAAGATATGCTACCATTTAAAAAAGATTTTTTCAATGGTAATGCCTGGATAACTTTTATCTTTAAGGAAATGGAAGATGCCTTACAATGTATAGAGAAGATTAACAAGAAAAAAGGTGAAAATTTATCTTAATTTCTATACAAGCATAAAAATGGGTAACTTTATACTCACCACTAGAAAAGAAATTCTTTAAACAAGAGATAGTAGAAAAAGAAAACAAGACAATGATTGTCACATTGATAGATTTTGACCACAGTCATACTCATCAAGAAATCAAGGCTGCCTTATAAAAATATGAAAAGGTCTCGAGTATCCATATTTATAACCACTCTCACTTTTAAAGCTGAATCAAAGCATAACTTATCCCAAACTAGCAAGACTTGGAGGATAGATGGTTTATTAATGTCAAAGTAGATACTTTTAGAGCAATTTTCACTTAACATGAACCAGACGATCATGAAGTCGATACTATTCTCAAAAACTATAACAGCCAATTCTCATGACTATATAGTATACACAATACTTTCACAAGTCTTATAGCAAGAACAACATAGCATTCAAGAGCCAAAACATGTTATATACCAAGAAATCCTTTTACTTTGAAAAGAAGAAGATATGCAGTAGTCTATTTTGCAGCAGTAGAAGATATGTACAAGGCCCTGAGATGACATATATCTATACATGATCACAAACTCAGCTGAAGTACTAAAGAGCACTTT